CTAGCTTTCCCTCTTTGTCACCACAGTAGGGCTAATCCATTTTTAAATGAGAACTCAGCCTCAACTCTCTTATGGACTCCAGCCTTGTTTATTTTTTATTTGAAAGTCAAAGTTAGAGAGAGAGAGATCTTCCATCTGCTGGTTCACTCCCCAAGTGACTGCAATGGCTGGAGCTGAGCTGATCCCAACCCAGGAGCCTCTTCCACGCCTCCCATCTGCATACTTGAGCCATCTGCTGCTTTCCCAGGCTGTTAGCAGGGAGATGGATGGGAAGTGGAGTACTGGGGACATGAACCAACACCCATATGGCATGCTGGTGTCACAGGTGATTGCTCAGAGTGTCATGCCACAGGGTTGGCATCTCTAAGACTGGGATAAATAATGATTATAAATACAACTTGTACAAACACTTGCTGATTAAAATACTCAATAATTCTACAGTATAATGGGATCCCAAGTTCAAAAATTAAGAACCACTGGTTCGGGCCCGGCGCGGTGGCGCAAGTGGTTAAAGGTCCTCGCCTTGCACGCCTGGGATCCCATATGGGCGCCGGTTCTAATCCCGGCAGCCCTGCTTCCCTTCCAGCTCCCTGCCTGTGGCCTGGGAAAGCAGTCGAGGACGGCCCAAAGCTTTGGGAACCTGCACCCACGTGGGAGACCCGGAAGAGGCTCCTGGCTTCGGATCGGCATAGTATCAGCCCGTTGCGCTCACTTGGGGAGTGAATCATCGGACGGAAGATCTTCCTCTCTGTCTCTCCTCTCTGTATATCCGCCTTTCCAATGAAAAAATAATAAAAATAAATCTTTAAAAAAAAAAAAAAGAACCACTGGTTCAGATGCTGTGTAGCTGAAGCAGGTCTAGAGGAAGTACAAAGCTGGAAGCATTTATGCAGCTATGCCTGCACTTTGTCCAGACAGTGATGAAAGTGTTAGTGGCACGAGGATCTGAAGCCTGCATAAGGCAGGGTCCCTGGAGTAAGGCAAACCTGCAGACATAATTAGTAAAAGCATTCTTTTCCCCTTTTGCACTGGCGTTTCTAAGAATAAGGCGTGGCAATGTGACAGTGTGTAGCTCAATGCTAACCTTTAGTCTGAGGTTTTAGGGAAGCTGCTCAAACTAGACTGTGGAAGCGGAGGAGTTCTTAGTGGGCGAGGTGAAGGGGAAGAAAGAGGAAAACGTTTAAGGCATTATCCTTCACACCCTGGCTTCTGTGCACTTTTTTTAGTGAGGCATTTCCTCACACTCCCATGCAGAGGATCCAGCCCCATCTGCTCCAACCCAGCTCCCCACTTATTTCCTTTCCAGCACTTTCTGAAGACCTAACGCAGCTGGAAAGGTAAGTGCAGCTGGAGCTGAAGTGCCTTAGTTTGAAACTTAAATTGCCGTTACTGGTTACATAATCGTTAGACACTTAAGTTCGCTGTGCTTCCACTTCTCCATAAAATGTGTTCATCAGTCAAAGAATTTACATGGAAGAGCTGGCTGAGGCTGTGCCTCTGGGAGTGAAAAGGAAAGGGCAGATAGGAACTAGATCAAAGACAGAATCAACGAGCGAGTGCAGCCAGCAAGGAGGACTAGTAAAGGGAATTCCAAGGAAAGAGGAGGAAGAAAAGGCAAGGAAAAATTATGGGAGTGTATATATATATATATATACTGGAATAATATTTATAAAATATTATATATTAATCTTTATATATAAAATAAATATTGTATATATATTTTAAAGCAATGGGGTAGGCATTGTGATGCAGAGGACTCAGCTGCCAGCTGATCTGCCCACATCCAGTCCTGCCTGCTCTGCTTCTCATCCAGCTTTCTGCTAGTGCATTCTGGGAGGTGGCTGATGATGGCTCAAGTGCCCGAGCCCCTGCCACTCACTTGGGAGACCAGATAGAGTTCTGGACTCCTGGCTTCAGCATTTGGAAATGAATCAGCAGATGGAAGAGCTTTTTTTTGTCACTCTACTCTCCCTTTCAAGTAGGTGGAAAGAAATGAACCCTAAAATAAATAAATTAATTAAAGCACATGATGATGTGTGGATAAGGGAAGAGAATGAAAAGCCAAGAGTGATTTCCAATGCTTCTTCCTTGAGGGATTTGGCAGGCTGCTAGGGCCAGCATCAGTGAACTCCTCCAGAGGGAAAAGGAGGAGTATGTTTACAAGGAGTTGGCAAGCAGAACATGATGGTAGATGATTTAATTTTATAGCACTGTAGTGATGGGCCCTAACAGAAACAGTTGGAGGGAGACAAAATGTGGGTGTCTGCTCTTTGTGTCAGAATTGAAATAAAATTCAGAAACCCCAAAGACCCGTTCCCCACCCCGACACACACACACTGACCTGCCTGGAGAAGGACCATCTCCTTTAACACTCATGACAGTGTTCTTAAGCACCGGTCCAAGATGCTTATTATGTGGTTACCCGACATAGCACTTCTCACTTCTGTCGTGATTTGGGGGCATCCTATCTGAAGCAGTCGGATCTTGTGACGTGGCCAGCTGCTGAGGCCTTCCAGGAGAGCTCAACTGTCCATTACAATCTCCCAGGGAAGTAGGTGTGGGCAGGATATGCGGTTTCCCCGCCTCCCATGTGAAGGCTGATTCCGTTATTTTTCATGAATGGTCTCTTACAGTAAAAGCTGCATTCCAGAGAGCTTTAGAGGAGACTGCAAAGGACAAGAGAGCTGCTGGTCTTTCGCAGTGCAAGTTGGGACAAGAGCACTATCTTTGTGGTTATCACAGAGGACACAGCCAGGAAACAGTGGCCCTGGATTATAACCTCAAAACCAAGCCCCTCTGCTTTCGAGTGACCTTGAGGGCTTGAGCCAGCCATAACAGTGATACACAGCAGGGCAGATGCTGGCTTATCGGGTAATCTGGAACTAAACAGGAGGACGTGACAACGTGCCTCCGCCTGGCTCTGAATGCGTGTATTGAGGCCTACACTGGGTGGTGGTGGTGGGGGGGTAGATTTCTAAAATGAGTATTGCAACACATACCAATTCTTTCTCTGACATTCCAGGCTAACCACTGTCTAAGTCAGGCTCTGTGAAACATCTGGGATGTACACTTCTGGAAAAAATTATGGCATCTTTTTCTGTTCCTCCTTGGGGTCTGAGCACTATGAGTTCTGGCCTAATGACATTTGCCACCCACCCCTTTCCCACATGATTAGGCAGCGGCCCCTGGGGTGGGAGATGTGTGGATCTGGAAATGGAGTGGCAGGAACAGAACTGAACACAGTCCACCCTCCCTCACCACCACCAATCCAGTGCTATTTGGGCAGAGGAAGACAGAAAGTGAATACAAACTCAGATGCTGCCATCCCTGAAGATACCGCAATCACATTAGACAGGTAGGCCCTGGTAGGACTGCTTTCATTGGCTGCCTGACATTTCAGACCCACAGGTTGGTGGGAACACAGCCAATGCTTGAGATGTGAGAACTGAAATCAAAGCGCCAGGCACCCCCACTTGACAGCCCTGCGGCCACTGAATCCAGATTGCAAATTGCCTTCGTTGTTCTGAGATGTCTGTCACCTGTGTTTGCAACCGGAAAACCCAGAAGCATCCTGGGGCTGGACATGCCTACCTGACTCAGGGAAAGGGTTTCTAGAATTACACAAAGGACTAGATGAGTCTCAGCACTCAAAATTTTTTAAAAACTTATTTGAAAATCATAAAACACACATACCCAGAGGTAGAAATGGCTGCCACAGTGGGGCCATACTATATTGAAGCCAGGAGCTGGAAACTTAATGCAAGTCTTCTATGTATGGAATTAAATCAGCTTAGGGGTGGACGGTTAGTGTAGCAGTTAATATCACTTGGGACACCTACATAACAACCTGGTCCAACTCTGGCTAGTGCAGGCATTTGGGGAGTAAACCTAAATGGAAGATTTCTCTGACTCTCTGCCTTTCAAATAAATAAATAGAAATACAAATCAAAAGCCAATACTTGGGCCCGGCACAGTGGCCTAGCAGCTAAAGCCCTCGCCTTGAATGCACCCAGAATCCCATATGGGCACCGGTTCTAATCGCAGCAGCCCCACTTCCCATCCAGCTCCCTGCCTGTGGCCTGGGAAAGCAGTCAAGGATGGGCCAAAGCTTTGGGACCCTGCACCCATGTGGGAGCTCCTGGCTCCTGGCTCCGGATTGGCATAGCACTGGCTATTGTGGTTACTTGGGGAGTGAATCATTGGATGGAAGATTTTTCTTTTTGTCTCTCCTCCTCTCTGTATATCTGCCTTTGCAATAAAAATAAATAAATCTTAGAAAAAAAATCAATATTCTCTTTCTTTATTAAAAAATGTTTATTTTGGTGCAAAAAATTTTTGGAACCCCCACAAAGTTTTTTTATAATTCAGATTTTCCAGGAATTTTGTGGGGACCCATGGCATATGCTGGGAATCCCAAAAAGTAGAAAAATGGCAGAGATGGTGATTCTCTTAAATTCCTTAATACTTCTTCTTTTTTTTTTTAAAGATTCATTCATTTTTATTGGAAAGGCAGATTTATAGAGAGAAGGAGAGACAAAGAGAAAGATCTTCCATCTACTGGTTCACTCCCCAGGTGGCCACAACAGCCGGGGCCAATTTGATCCAAAGCCAGGAGCTAGGAGCTTCTTCTGGATCTCCCACACAGGTGTAGGGTCCCAAGGCTTTGGGCCATCCTCTACTGCTTTTCCAGTCCAGAGGCAGGAAACTGGATGGGGAATGGAGCAGCTGGAACACTAAACTGGTATCCATATGGGATCCTGGTTCTTTTAAGGCGAGAATTTAGCCACTAACCCATCACATTAGGCCCAAAACTTTTTGATAAGGGACTCCCGTTATGATGCCAGCAATTAGGGAGCTCTTTGGGACCACATTTACTGCAACAGAAGCTGAGCACCTGGTGCAATGTCTGGCCCCGGGAGCTCCCGTGCAGCCATGGACCACAGTCGAGACACAGTGCCTTCACTAGAATATGTTTTTAATGTTTTGAGAGTTTGGATTTCTAACACATAGAATCATGTTTTTATTACTTTGATGGTGATTGCCTTTTAATTTACTTTAACAATTAAACAAGAGATTTTACAAGACATTCTGGATTGAAGCCAATTACTCATAAAACAAGACTGAAGAACAAACAAAAAAAAGGGGAGGGGGCAGAGAGAGAGAGAGAAACTGGTTTATGCTTAGGTTCTGGAAGCCTGTGGAATGCAAGCTGTCATGAAGCCAGTTTAACATAACTGCTTCCTTTGGGCTGCAAGGGTTCACTGGGGACAGCACTGCTTCCTGCAGGAAATAAAGCCTGGTGAATTCAAAGCATAAGGAAGAAATACTTTTCTTTCCTCTCCCCTCCCCCCCAAAAGGCAGGTACTTGGGGAGGGGGAAGAAAGCTATAGTAACAGGAAATGTTACTCATCATACAAACTTTATATTTAGGTCGAAAAAAAATTGTGTAAACAGAAGATAACTTGTAGTTAGTGACAGACACTTTTCTCGAGATGAAATCTGGTGTGTACAGACGTAAGTGTTTCGTGTTTACAGCTCATCATGTAGGTTTACGAGAGATCTCAGTTTCTCTACACTCAGTTATTTGCACTTCTTGTTTTGTAACTCTTGATCACCAATAATTCTCAATTTTAAGCAGCCTTCATGGGAAGCCTGTAGTGTTCCCCCCAACCATCAGAGTAAACACCATGGTGGATGGTAACATTCTAAAGATGCATGCTGTCGACTGTCAAACGATTCGCCCAAGGTACACAGTTTTGGGATATTTCTCTTTTAGAGTTGGCCACTGCACGATGAAGTAATCCGAGAGGTGAAGTAGGATGTGCCCTGACAGGGACAGGGTTTCCACTCGGCAGATGCTTTCCACATAGACAATGATCACTTTCTTCAGCCCCAGAATCCCAAGGAGCAGGGCGGATATGCAGATAGGAACACATGTTCCGGGTCCATTACACAATACCTTGAAAAGAGAAGAGAGCTGAAGGTCAAATTACAATACAAACAGTGAAGCAGAGACAGCCCTTTGCATTGAGTACAGTCAGATCTTGCAGGAGGTTTGTTTGTTATTCTAGTAAGTCTTCCTTTGTCAAGAGCCAGGACGTAGTGCGCCCGGCATGTGTGAGCCCATGTACTTAGGAGCTTGTGTCTGGGGTTCCCTCCTTGCTCTTCGCTTCCAGCTTGGCACCTAGGATGGTGCCTGGCACTCAGTCAGCACCCACTGGGCAGGCAAGGGCTGCTCCTCTGCCTGCTTTGTGGATCTCTAATGTCACACAGAGGAAAAACAGATCAAATCAACCAGGATTCATGATGAATGGCATACATGTCTTAAAATGACTAATTATGTAGGCTTGGAATTGTTTTAGGGGTTGAATCCAACAAATGGAATATTCAAGAGAAGTATACCACATGAATGAGATTTTCCCTTGAGACTGTGTAAGTCATGCCTGTACTACAAAAGAGCTTTTTAATGTTTTTGAATTCTGCCAGCTTTTACAGAAAGCTACTGGTTAAAAACAATTGTGTTGACTAATTTAAGAAGAGAAACAAAAATTCAACTCATTAAGCAATCATAAATAACTCATGAGTCTTGAAAAATTAGAAGAAACTTCACAAGCCTTTTATGCAACATCTTCATCATATGTTCATGTCGACTGATTTAGTAAAAGCTAACAAAGCATTTTCTTCTGTGAGACATATAACTAGAGCTTTGGGGCTGCCTACTTATGCCCAGTGGGCACGATCTACAGTGTTGCATCATTTTCCCAGCCTTAGGACAACAAAAACTTATCAGATGTCAGAGAATCTTCAGGGTTGAAAGGGTCCTCAGATAGACTGTCTGATCAGAGTGCAATTCAGGAACTCTCCAGGCAGACCCACAAACATCCTGCCTCCATGTGGGGACAGTCAAGGTTATAAAGGTTTGATCAGGGTGACCTGGTCCAGGTCCACCCCTAGGACACAAGTCACAGAGTTTTTGGAAAAGGGAAGATGGCCTTTCTCAGGTGGGGGCAGTGTTTCTACATCTCCTTGAAGCTCCACTTACAATGCAAATTCTTCAGGCTATCTTTTATGGAGAATGTTCATTCTGCCTTTCTCTTACTACCAGTAAGAGTATTCTATCTCCTTTTGAAAGAAAGATTTATTGTCTGAAAGGCAGAGTGTGAGAGAAGTAGACTAGAGAGAGGTGGTAAGGGAGAGAGTGGTAGTTAACTTTCCATATGGCAGCAACAGCTATATCTGGGCCAGGCCAAAACCAGGAGCCAGGAACTGCATGATGGTCTTCCATATGGGTGCCAGGAGCCAAATTCTTGGATACCCTTTGTTGCTTTTTCAAGTGCATTAGCACAAAACTGAATCTGAAGCAGAGAAGCCAGGACTTGAACCAAAGCACTCTGATATGGCACTGCATATTACAAGCGGACTAAATCTGCCAGATTTTAGTGTCAGCCTTCTGTGCTTTCCTATCTGAATGAAGATTCCACATACAATCTTTCTTCAACATCCCTCAAGGCAGTGAAGGAGAAAGAATACAGGACCAAGCGTTAGGGGACAGGGTAAGAAAAGCTGTAAGCGAGTGCTGTGACATCCAATCACAGCACTAATGACAGTCCTTACCTTGGTTCTCACAGATACATTTTGTTAAATATTTATTTGAAAAAGTTACAGAGATGGGCCTGGTGTGAATGCTTGATTGACAAGTGCTTGTAAGTGCTGCGATCCCATGTGGGCGCTGGTTCGTGTCCTGACTGCCTCACTTCCCATCCGGCTCTCTGCTTGAAGCCTGGGAAAGCAGTGGAGGACGGCCCACTTGGGGAAATGAATCAACAGACGGAAGATCTTCCTCTCTGTCTCCCCTCCTCTTGGTATATCTGACTTTGCAATAAAAAATAAATAAATTGCAGGATCCCAAGGCTTTGGGCTGTCCTCGATTGCTTTCCCAGGCCACAAACAGGGAGCTGGATGGAAAGTGGAGCTGCTGGGATTAGAACTGGCATCCATATGGGATTCTGGGCGTGTTCAAGGTGAGGACTTTAGCTGCTAGGCCACTGTGCTGGGCCCAAAAATAAATAAATCTTAAAAAAGAAAAGTTACAGAGATATAGGGAGCTAGAAGGAGAATGGTGCGGGGGAGGGGGAATCTTTCATCTGCTGGTTCCCTCCCAAGATGGGCACAACCCATAATGGCTGTGTGGCTGGGGCTCGGCCAGGCTGAAGGAGTTCATCCAGGTCACTTAAGTGAGTGTAGGGGTTCAAGTACCATTACTATTTATTAATAACACACTATGGCCTGGTACTATGATAAAGTTGTGATATGTGTTACATCTTCATTAAGCCTCTCAGCAATCATTTGAGGCAAGTTTTATTATTATTTGTACAAATGAGGTAAGAAAAGTACAGGGAGATTGAGCAAGATGTTTGATTGTGAATTTATGGGGCAACGGATTTATACAGCTTCAGGTTACTTTTTCCTATGTGACTCAAATACCTTATCTGAAAATGGTGGACTGGACTAAATCATTTTGCCTGTCAGTTCTAGGAGCCCATAATGCTATGATTATAATTTGCCTTTGTTGTTATCTTAAGTCTAAATTACAAACTTACTCAGGAATTTGGATTCTTAGAACCCTTTAAGTTCAAAGCATTACAGATAATTTGGACAAGATAATTTTTAGTTGTGGTGATCTGTGCTGTGCACCACAGGATGTTTAGACACGCTCCTGGCCTCTACCCACAAGAATGCAATAGTCAAGACAATCAAGAAGGCCTTCAAGCATTGCCAAATGTGGATAATTATTGTATTAATGTATTCCCTTATCCTCAGATCATATGTACAGCTTACGCAATCTTCTCTTCAATAGTATAGAGCAAAATCAAAACCATAGCTGAGGAGGATAATTTTAGGACAGCTTATTGCATTTTGCATGTCACAAAAATACTGTTACATTTGCTGCCTTTGAAAAGTATGTGTATCGATGGCTGTGCCTTGGTACAGTAAGTTAAGCCTCTGCCTGTGATGCTGGCATCCCATATGGTTGCTGGTTTGAGTCCCAGTTGCTCAACGTATGATCCAGCTTCCTGCTAATGACCTGGGAAGGCAGTGGAGAATGGCTTGAGTCCTGGGGTCCCTGTACCCACATGGGATACCCAGAAGCTCCTGGCTTCAGATGGGCCCAGCCCCAGCTGTTGCAGCCATTTGGGGAGTGAACCAACAAATGAAAGACTTTTTTGTTTCTCCTTCTCACTTCGTTACTCTGCCTTTCATGTTAAAAGAAATCAATCTTTAATAAGTATACATATCTACACAATCTGGTTGACTATCTCAACAGAAGCAATATATATGTTATTAGGGATGTATATGGGAGGTGAAATGATTGGGCACTGATGGAAGATGCGTTAGCCACCTGTCACAAATCAGAACTGGAGGCTGTCACAAATAAATCAAAGGAATTTAGCTTGTTTATCTCAATTCATCTTTGTATCTTGAGGCATCTTACTGTAAACATCTGTGTTACGTGTTTGGCATGGACTAATCCTCAGCCTGTGCTACTGGCATCCCATATGGGCACTTGTTTGAGTCCCAGCTGTTCTGTTTCGAATCAAGCTTCCTGCTTATGGCCTGGAAAAGCAGCAGAGAACGGCTCAAGTCCTTGAGCTCCTGCACCCACATGGGAGACCATGAAGGGGCTTCTTGGTTCCTGGCTTCAGATGGGCTCAGCTCTGGCTGTTGTAGTCATTGGGGGAGTGAATCAGCAGAAGGAAGATTTCTTTGGCTTTCTTCTCTCTAAAATCTGTCTTTCAAATAAAAATAAGTAAACCTTTAAAAGAAATCGTGGTATGATAACACCACCAAATCATAAAACAGGTTGAAGGAAATCAAACTAATCTCAAAGAAAACTTGGACGAAGGAACACTACTTTCAACTAAACACAAGTTTTAAGTTTGAGTTTTATAGCAGTACAAGCAAAAAGGCTTGGTAAGAGTGTGGATTAGGGAGTGTTCCCTGTTTAAGAAAGTAGACCAGAGAGACCTTCTTGAAGCACTGAGCAAAGGAGAGGCACCGAGCTAACCTGCATAAAGACATGTCAACACACATCAACAGGTGAAGCTATCTTTTTAGTTTTATAAAAATCACAGAAATATTCTTTACATTTCAATCTCTTAGAACACAAATCCTTGCTGAATGCAGGACCATGGCCCTGGGCATCTCGCTACCTCACTGCGCTGTTACCTCCTTATGGGTAGAGTCTACATCTAGAATAACTTATATTCTGCACTTGGAACAAGCTGGCACTCATGAAACTGCTGAAAAGGAGCAGGAATGTCAGAAAGAAGTGAATCCTTCTTTGTCAAATGGCCTCCCGTCAGACCTCACCCTGCACGCATATACCATAAATATGCTATTGGCTGTAGCCAAAGCTCTTCTCCTCCCCACTTTTCCAAGTCTTACCAGCCATTCACCCTTTTCCTGGGGGAATCTCTACAGCCCTTATTCGCAACATAAATGCTTGTTGATTCCACACCCATCTGACTAACTCTGGCCTGACAAGCCTGAGTATCAGGTTCCCCCCATGAAAGTCACCAGTTGAAGGAAAAGAGCGTAATTCCATCAGAAAGTGTGTGCCACAGAGGGCTGTTGGTCGTGGCTGCTGAGAGAGCAGCACCTTCTCTGCCATGCTGGCTCCTAGGAAGACGGGTACGTGGTATTTGTTAACATCTCTCTTGCCATCGTGTGGAGTGCTTGAGAACGAAGCCATCACAAGGAGGGCAGAGCTGAGAGCCGTCGCCAGGCCGAGGTCCCAGGCCGAGCACTGGAGATCCATGAGCCCAGCTGTCCCTGAAGGAAACCAGATCTATCCCGGGACTTGCCAGGTATGCGAGGGAACACATTGCAGTTTTGCTTAAGCCAGTTCCAATTAGGGTTTCTGTCACTGGCAATAAAAGGTAAATGAATTGACACAGC